ATGCCTGGGCTCATTATAAAGGAGTGTGTATGTGTGCTCAGGCAGACACTGCATAAATGTCTGTGCATGAACACGAATGAGTATGCGCGAGTGAGTATGCACGGAAGTGCGCAGGTGTATGTGTGTTTGTGTGCACGTGTCCATGTGTGTGTGTAGACAATAGAAGCAATATATATACGTTGATGTGTATATCTGTGCGTATGTGTATATAGTCATATATGCGTATGTATATGTATATATATATGTGCGGGTATGTGTATATGTATATGTCTATGTATGTATATGTGTAGGTGTGTGTATATATGCATATATATATGTGTATATGTATGTGTATATGTATATATATGTATGTATATATATGTAGATAAGTGTATATAGATGTAAATATATGTATGCATATATATATATATATATATATATATATATATATATATATATATATATATATATATATATAAATATATATATGTGTGTGTGTGTGTGTGTGTGTGTGTGTGTAAGTGGGTATGTATATATATACACACACATATGTATGTGTATGTGTATGTATGTGTGCATATGTATGTGTATGTGTGTATGTTTGCATATGTATGTGTATGTGTGTATGCGTATGTATGTGTGCATATGTATGTGTATGTGTGTATGTGTATGTATGTGTGCATATGTATGTGTATGTGTGTATGTGTATGTATGTGTGCATATGTATGTGTATGTATATATGCATATGTGTATATACATGTGCATGTGCAAGTGTATACATATGTATGTGGGTGAACACTGACGTATACTCACAAACATATGTGCACATATACGTGTGCGTAAGCATATGTATGGCCATATTTAAAGATGTATGTATAGTCATAAGTATGTGTACAAGATATGTGCGCATGTGTGTGTTCGCATATGTGTGGATATGTCTATACATGTGCAAGCATGTGTGTAAGAGTTATTAAAGGGACCTCTAAACATTGGTGACAGGGAGTAGTAAAAGCTTGATGGCTAAAAAACCCTTTATTGATAAGAGTTCAGCACACGGGTATGATACCACAACGATGACAAGACTTGGGTTTAGTGCGAGGTCGCCAAGGTCACTGGCGAGCTCAGCTGACCGCTGACCGGCCGCGAGGGTCGGTGTGTGTCCTCGCGCCCGGCAAGGTATACTCTCACTCCTGACCGGTCAAGCGTGGTCCCTTATATCCGATGAGGGCTTGGAGGGGGGCATGGAGGACCGCCAATCCGTTGGGGCACGCCGCTTAGGCTGCCTAGTGTGGGCGCCACGTGGCATCCACGTGGGCGCCACGCGGGCATATAATACCGAAATAATACATAGTATATTGCTCAGCCTCAAGGGTGACCCAACCTGGCTGGTCCTAACTTGCTCGTCCACGATCTCGGGTGTGGTATCCTTGGTGCATCTCCGTGGCTGCTCGTTCTGTGTCGTCATCTTCGCTCTGGTCCCTGGTAATCCGTTCGTCCTCGACATCCTCATGTCCTCGACTGGTCTCGCGCAGGTCCTTGCCCAGACATAATCCAGACGTAGTCCGCGTACAGGTCAAACTTGGCGGCTTATTCGACCAATGCGCATCTCGCAGATCTCCGTCCAGGTCCTTCTCGGCTGCGCGCTCGTACAGACGTCCTCGTAATCTTCATCAGGATCTACGGGCGTCCGGCAGGAAGCGTCCTTTTCGACATCGTAGGGCGGCTGATCTCGGGTGTCCTGGCGAGCGGCGATCTCCGATGACGTTTTCTAATGGCTTCCGAAGGTGACCATTTCTGCAGCAGGGCCTCCTTCGGTGCCGTTTCAGATATCGGGAACCAGAATAACACATAATGGGCCAGATAGTGAGAGAAGAAAAAACGACAGAGAAGAGAAGGTGTTAATTGCTACAAGCCGATTTTTTGTTTCATAATTTGCAGTTTTTTAAAGTTGAATTTTCGTTTTTTCATTTTGTGTTTTGTGTTCACAAAGTTAAAGTAAGTTAAAAGAAGAAAATAGGAGAGGGAGACGGTGATAACGATCAGCAAGAATCCTCTTGAGCTACCATCGTTTCGTGAAAAGTAAAGGAACCGACAATTGGCATTCCGTAAGGAATTACTTGAACCATTTGTCGACCCGAAAGAAAAGTTTAATGATTGAAAGGTGTCAATGAAAGTAAGAGTGACCTCCTATAGCCGTAGTGTTGCCAACACGCTGAATAAAGTTCATTTTAACCATAATGTGACTAATTATTTATAGACGTAATTCAAAATTATTTGAAGTACCACATTGAATTAAACATTTAATGATATGCGGCAAAATGACGCATTAATGAATGGTGACGTGAAAATTATTCGCAAGCCTTTTCGCGAGCAAATCTTCTCGGGAATTTTCCCGAGGAAGCAGGTGTCTTTACCAACCATGCAGACTTCACTTGAAGGGGGGAGACGTCCCCCAAAATTTCGTATTTTATGAAGCTTAAACGAGCTGGGAAAATCTATAAATTACCCACTCTATCTGCGGAACTATGATGGGCGCTCATGAAATGCCCTGCGGAGGTTTATCATGAATCACAAACCGATGGGATTTACCCAACATGACGGTGACATGTAAAAGTGTGAGCGGGTTGTGATTAATTAAGTGGATCCTAATTCTGACTTAAATCCTTGTCCTAAATTAATGGAAATAATTGCGGTCACCCTGGCTCAAAATTTGCCGTACGTATGATTTACTTCAGTTACCTTAACCTACTCTCATACGTGAGTCATTATGCATAATTGCAACCTTACAATGAGGATACCTCTTGGCGATATATTTAATTTTACAAGTCACGTTACAAGTTCCGTTCTAGCGCCGATAGAACTTGTCACCATGAACATGTAACGGTTGCTATGCATTAACTCTATATTGTGACAACTAGTTCAAACAATTAAAAGGGAATTGGCAAGCTGTTTTTCTCCACCATTTACTGTGATAACCACTCCTAGTGAAAGTTATATCAGGTCATTACAGTTGTCCCCGAGTGGGCTCTGATTAATGACTTTCAGCTGAGGTCAGGTCAAGACAGAAAATAGAGAGAGATGAATTTAATGAGTGAATATTTGTGAAAGAATAAATTCATGAACGCGCTAAATTTGATACAATTGAAACAACATAATGTAATCACGAAAAAAAATAAATAGACACTTAATAAATGAACAATTTCATAATGTTTGGCTCATACTTATCACACAGTAATGAGGTGTGAGGTCAAGAAAATGAGATGAGAATGAGAGCGAGCCATTGTTGAAATTAGCACTTTAGCCCAAAAAACAAACGTGAGCTGGCTGTGCACGGCCTAACACATTTAGGAAAAAATAGAAAAGAAATGAAAAGAGAAAGGCCCAAGATGTGTACTCATGGGTTTCTTGAAGAAATGTCATCTTGCGTTTGTCTTCGGAGAAGCTTGTTTGGTTGTGTGCCAAAAGGACACAACTACCACCACTTGCCACCAGTGTAAGAAGGGGGAAGGGATGAATAGGCGGCCAAGCGCGCAACAACCACCTCTGCCACCAGAATGTAAGACTTATTAAAGGGACCTCTAAACATTGGTGACAGGGAGTAGTAAAAGCTTGGTGGCTAAAAAAACCCTTTATTGATAAGAGTTCAGCACACGGGTATGATACCACAACGATGACAAGACTTTGGTTTAGTGCGAGGTCGCCAAGGTCACTGGCGAGCTCAGCTGACCGCTGACCGGCCGCGAGGGTCGGTGTGTGTCCTCGCGCCCGGCAAGGTATACTCTCACTCCTGACCGGTCAAGCGTGGTCCCTTATATCTGATGAGGGCTTGGAGGGGGGCAAGGAGGACCGCCAATCCGTTGGGGCATGCCGCTTAGGCTGCCTAGTGTGGGCGCCACGTGGCATCCACGTGGGCGCCATGCGGGCATATAATACCGATATAATACACAGTATAATGTGTTTGTGTGTAGTTGTGTATAATGTAGGAGTATTTATGCATATCATAAGCATATGAGCATATGTAAAGGTGTATGCT